GGCGGTGTATCTTTCCATGATCTAGCGGAAGATTCATTTTCAGTTTGCACATTTGGAGAGTAATTAGAGTGGAGCGAGGGCAATAGACCCAAGCGAAGCCCAAAACCCTCGCCGGAAGTTTGTCAGTCTTGACTTGACGATCCGAAAAGAAGAAAGACGGCAACGCTGGACTCGCTGGTTTTGACCAACGGGCGCAGGTCAGTTGCTGCACCCATCACCATCAACTGTTGAAATAATACACACCCAACCTCGAATCCAGATTTTTTTTTATCGAATGAACAGAGTAAACTACGTAGTAATTCTCAATTAATTACCTCAGGCTTATCAGGCCGTCGCCCCTTCTTTTCAAAAGAAAAAAGAAAAAAAAAAAAAAAAAAAGACTCCCTGGTCCGGTGCCAGCAGCATTATCAAAGGAACCTGGTCCGCCATCTGGAAGAAGCCACACCTCCTTGATCTTTACATACAGTATTAGTCGCACACAAACCATCGAGTGAAGCCCCCCCCCCCTCCTTGTCGTACATTGATCTTTACATATGAGAATTCTTACATATGAGAATTCAATAACAATCTAGTACACTAAACCTCTGTTAGGTGCTGGGGGTGTTGGCAAAAATTGATTTTGTATATGACTCTATTTGCTCTAGAGAGTTAAAACGATCTGTAATTAGAGGTACTTCTTGTCTGTTCTCTGTAAAATATTCGTCCAGAGTCATCACGTTACGTCCATCCGAAAGTTGGAGAGAGAGAGAAAGACCCTCTTTTCAACATACCAGAGAAAGTCAGAGTAAATCACCCTGTCTTTGTCAGCGGCGGCTGCAGCAGCAGCGCAATCTTGGAAAACCGCGCAGCGACCAAACCACAGAAAGAACTACCTCTGTTTTACCGAGAACGATTTCTTTCCCGCAACTCTTACCTAACTGCCTCACTTCGTCTTCACTCTCGAATAGAACGCCCGATCATTATAGCTGGCTGTATTCGGTGCAACTTTCAGTCCAGGTACGGCGATAATGACCGATCATTATAGCTGTATTTGGTGCAACAACTTTCGGTCCAGGTACGGCGATAATTACCGGGCGTTCTATTTGGATGAAGACATTCGAATCGATCCCACCACCGATAAACCCCCCCCCCTTACCAACCCAAACCACAAGCATCAACTTTTAGTAATAGGCTAGACAAAAGCAAAGATCTTTCTTCCCATTTCCCATTTCCATGAGGTGCGGCTGGAAATCATCTCAGTTCATGGAACATGGATATGCTTACTAACGCTTGTTGATTACAGACACGTTTCAGAAGCAACTTGGCCATTGCTTGACAATCAGTCAACGCATTTTCCTGGGAACATCGTAACGAGGTTCCATCCATGAAAATGACATTAATTTATATACTTCAAAAATAACAATTGCGAAGGCAACAGCAAAAATGACATTAATTACAGTAATACTTAAAAAATAACAATTCCGAAGGCAACAGCAAGTGCTGCTGCACCATCTGCGTTATAATAGTCGCGCAATCGCGAAACAAACTAAGGGCGGGGGGGGGGGGGGGGGGGGGGGGNGGGAGGGGATGGTGTTGAAGGAAAGGAGGCAGAAGGCACCTCAACTATGATGATAATATGTACATTATCCTGTGTCCCCAAAGCTGTCCCTTTCTCCTACCTGATGATCAATTAAAGAAGGAAGATCATCGGGCGGCCACACTACGCCTTTCCGAGTGCCCCCGTCTTGCACGTCTTAAATCCCTTTTCTTACTCTGGTGATAGTTCTACCCCTCGCTATTTGCCCAGTTTTGAACCCATCTGAACAATCACGATGACCAGATGCATTCAAAATGTCATCCGCCAAATTTTGAACCCATCTGAACACTTGTTATGACCAGATGCGCTCAAAATGTTGGCTGATGGCGAGTGGTGCAACTACATACTGTAAATCGAGGGCGGGGGGGGGGGGGGGGGGGGGGGGCGAGGGGGGGGGTTTGGTTTGGGTTTGATCTGGCGACATGCAGCGTGCAAAAAATGAGAACGAATGATCGGTTGAAAGATCGAGAGATTGATTAATTGATTGATTGATTGATTGATTGGGAGGGGGTTACCCTCCTCCCTCTCTCACACACACATACACACACACGTGCACGTGAGAGGGGGGGAGGGGGAGGGAGAGAGAGGGCAGAAAGGGGGAAAAGAAAATGGGCTGGATTTGTTCAAACAACGGCCTGCAAGCAACGTGCATGGACTGGATGAAGGAGAGGCAGAGACTGTAAGAGAGATGAGCACTGGAGACAAACGGCACACTCAGACTAGCGACTTCACACGAATCGAACGCCCGGTCATTGTCAATGCATCTGGGCTGGAAGTTGCCCCAAATACAGCTATTTTGACCGGGCGTTCTATTCAGGGCAGGACGGAAGTGACTTCTGCAGCTGTGTGTGAGCGGAGTTCCGTCCAAATTCGATCAAGAAAATCCGATTTTTTTTTCACTTTTGCCCAAAAAAACAGGACTGGGAGGAAATCAGCGGAGTAAATGAGGAGAGTAAATAGAAAAAAATAAACAAGAGTTAAAAAAAAAAAAAAAACGAGAGTAAACAAAAAAATAAACGAGGGGAGGAAGTGAAAAAGAGTTAGGAAACGTACGGGCTACTACAGGAGCGGCCAAATTCATCCGACTAGAAACGTTTCTACTCTTTTTTTTTTCCGCGGCCAATAGCTGGGCCAAGTACTGGTGGTTTAAAATTGCAACGATACAGAGAAGACTACGTAGCATGGCCCCTGCGCAAGGATGACACGCGTAAACGGAGAAATGGTGGTCCCATCCTTCTGGACGTCCGTTAAAACTGCAACGATAGAGAGAGGGGTGATTAGCATTGCCCCTGCGCAAGGATGACACGAGTAAATCGAGAAACGGTCTAAAAGACAAGAGGACAGAGAAGAAAGGCGGCATGGCGCAGACATGAAATGAGAGAAAGAGAGCACGAAATACAGGGCGTGCAAGCAAGCAGAAGTGTCGAAGAGATGAGTGTCAGAGAGTATAGAAGAGACTGAAGAATAACAATAGTGCTAAGCACTGGCCAAGACACTCTTGTACATGCAAATAATTACAGCAATCAACGTACTGCGTGCACTCTTGCTCAGGTTCTACAGCAAAATACAGTATTCGCAAAAGATACCTTTCACGCCCTTTTGGCTAGAGATCATGCGTAGTATCTGTTGTGATCAGTTCAATACTAATTAACAAAATAATTATAAAAATAATTATAAAAATAATTATAAAAAATAGTAAAAGTAGGATAGGAAGCGCGGTGCGATGTTGCAGAGCGCAGGAAACGAGATGCAATGTATCGAGACCAGCTAACAAGATAATGGAAGGGAAAGACAGCACCAGACAGAAAGCGCGGGAAAGAGAACTCTAACTGGAAGCAAAATGGGGTTTAAGAAAGAGAAGGCAAAAGGTGGAGAAATTGAATTGAAATAGGGAGTGAATATTAGTCATTAAACCACTGCAGTACTTCCTAGAGTCGTGCCCCCGTTAACGCGCCGCCACGATTTTAGGAAACGTACGGGCCACTACAGGAGCGCCCAAATTCATCCGACTAGAAACGTTTCTACTCTATTTTTTTCGGCGCCCGATAGCTGGGCCAAGTACTGGTGGGTGGTTTAAGTGCAAGGAGAGACGGAGGGGAGGGAAGAACATTGTGGGAAACACAATTCCGTTTAACATCCTCGTTGACTTGTCATGCCCGTCTGGAACCTCCACAACCAGACAAAACACGTCATTACTTCCTCGACGGTACTCGTACATCGCTCTCCTTCATTCATCTTAAACCAAATCGTTGGTAGTTAATGCCATAATAACGACCGGGCGTTGTATTCGGGAACAGATCGATCTATCCTCTTCACCCGAATAGAACGCAAGGTCGTTATCGCTGAATCTTAGAGATAGAGCTGGCCGAAATTCAGCTATACCGACCGGGCGTTCTATTCAGGTGAAGACAGTAACAGTGAACTCCTCACGCAGTGCGGGATTGACCACACCCACACACATTAGTCATTGCATAAATAGGTGATTATAAAAACATAGTAATATCGGCCGTATGTATGTGAGCCTATCATTACTGAAAACAAGGGTGGGTGATAGCATCATCAGGTTTGGTCTGTCTCAGTCATCCGTGCTGTTAGCATTCCTATCCATCTCTCTGACTTCCAAATGACAACAGATCGAACACACTCAAAAACGACTAATCCCGAATACAACGTACGGTCATTATAGCTGTATTTGAGGCATCTTTCAGTCCAGATACAGCTATAATGACCGTACGTTGTATTCGGGGGAAGAAGGTAATAGCCCAATAAACACTACTCACTTCGGGTCGACAGCAACAAACGACATCGGCCGTCAATCACTTCCTATGCGGTTAAGTATATAGAGTACTACCAGCATCAGCCGTCAATCAATTTATAAGGACTATACAGTAACCATAGACACTATAGACGATCA